GGGTCTGTCCTGTGACAGCGAGCTCTCGGCTGCGGGTCGCTGTGTCTTCTCTCTTCCCGTGGCTCTTCCCGTGGGGATGCTGGTGGATCTGGGGCCGCAGGTGTTCCGGGTGAAGAGGGCCGCTCACAGCGCGGGGCCCACGTCCCCGCAGAGCAAAGCAGCTCTCGCTCTTATGCGCGGTAAGACGCGGTGTGTGTGTGATCACAGGAACACGACTCAGAGATGAGTTCTGTTTCAGTGTTATTTTACGATCACTGAGATACTATTTTAGTTTTTAATTATTTTTTATTTTATTTTTTAATAATTTTTTATTTTATTTTTAATAATTTTTTATTTTAGTTTCTGATTATTTTTTATTTTAGTTTCTGATTATTATTTATTTTAGTTTTTAATTTTTTTTATTTAATTTTTTTATTATTTTTTATTTCAGTTTTTAATTATTATTTATTTAAGTTTTTAATAATTTTTTATTGTAGTTTTTGATTATTTTTTATTTTAGTTTTTAATTATTTTATAATTCACAAAAAATCACAATGAAAATCAGGTAAAAACAGTAACATCAATGCTTGTCACACATTACACAAAAAGTAAATATAACAACATGTCATTTTTAAAACTGTAATTATTTAAGACATTGCATGGCGCAAAAATCATGGTTTGATTTCCAGCAAAAAAATGTCTGATACAAATTTATACCAAATGCATGAATATAAATACCCTCAGGAGTTCAGACATAACAATATATATATATTTTTACACACATTTCACAGCACGTCAAGAGTGTTGAAATTTCGCAGGCATATTCATGTCCCTAAATGAGAAATAATCACACAATTTCAGGACAGCTGCTGCCTTGAGGTGCAAATTCAGTTCGATGTGTCTAATTAACTATTTTCTACCATTACAGTCAGTGTGAAATAACATGCAAATAAAATGCAAATAACATGCATTTTTAAAATGCATGTAAAAGCTCATCTTATGAGCAATTCGTCCATGCATATGTTATTTAAAAAAATTTTTTTTGACATTGTAATGTTTAATCAAAACATCATAACTGGATCTTCCACTCTGTGGTGACCTATGTAGGATTTTTCCAATCAATTTGTGCTCTTAAGCTCCGCCCCTGCAGCTCATTTCCATATGCATTTAAGAGCCACGCCCACATCTCAGCATCCAATCAACAACCTAAGCACAGAACCAAGTCCCGCCCTACATTTATTCATCTCTTACACTCGAATGTTTGTCACAATATGGAAGAAAAGATCTCACTACTTCCGTTTCATCATGACTTTAACATGAGTATTAATTTTTAAACCCATAAATGTCAAAGCCGTGCAAATATTTAAGTTCATGTAATATGTAAATGAAAAACATCTAATTTATTTTTACCTTATGAGGTTGACCAACAGCGTTTTTAAGGTTAATCACATCGTGTCACTGAAGAAAGTCATATTTTGAACTCTATTCATGTAAAGCAGCAGTGTTAATGATATTTTTGTTGTGATTGTGGAGGCGGATTCTGATTGGTTGATTGGTGCTGTGCATAAGTAGCTCCGCTCTAAGTTTCTCTTGGTGGTTTGGATGTCGTGATGACAGATGTGTGTGTGTGTGTGTGTGTGTGTGTGAGGTGTGAGTGTGAGTGTGTGTGTGAGTGTGTGTGTGTGTGTGTGTGTCTCCCAAAGCAGCTCTTCTGTGGGACTCTGTCACTGCTTTCTCTGTCTTTTGGACACTGATAATGAGATGAAGGTCTGTGGTTACACAGTTTGATGTTGATGCATCAAATGTGTTGCTTAATGAATTAGATGCATGCCATGTGTGTGTGTGTGTGTGAGTGTGTGTGTGTGTGTGTGTGAGTGTGAGTGTGTGTGTGTGTCTCCCAAAGCAGCTCTTCTGTGGGACTCTGTCACTGCTTTCTCTGTCTTTTGGACACTGATAATGAGATGAAGGTCTGTGGTTACAGGCTCATGTCAGACTGATGTTGATGCATCAAATGTGTTGCTTAATGAATTAGATGCATGCCATTGTTTTTCTTTACTACTGTATGTAAACCACAGTAAACATCTTTGATGGTGCACAGCAGAAGTCTACACCAAAAACACCTTCCACTGAAATACCATACTTAAACATGAAGATAGTAGATTTTTATAGTCATTTTAAGGCGTCCATCAAAAGTTTACTGGGGTTGGCAAGATTTTTTTAATGTTTTGAAAGAGTCTCTTCTTCTCACAAACGTTGCATTTGTTTGATCAAAAATACAATACAAAATTTTGAAATATTATTATAATTTAAAATAACTATTTTCTACGGTGAATATATGTTAAAATGTAATTTATTCCCGTGATGCGCAGCTGTATTTTCAGCATCATTCCTCCAGTCTTCAGTGTCACATGATCTTCAGAAATCAGTATAATATGCTGCTCGAGAAACATTTCTGATTATTATCAATGTTTGAAATCAGTCGTGCTGCACAATATTATTGTGGAAACCGTGATACATTTTGTTTTTTAGGATTCACAGATGAATAGAAAGTTCAAAAGGACAGCATTTATTTGAAATAGAAATCTCTCTCTCTCCTCAGATCTCTCAGATTGAAAATGTGTCTCGTTTGTCGAAGCTTCGTTTGTTGAATCTCTCTGGAAACCGCATCAGTCGAGTGGAGAATCTGCAGGGTCTGAAATGTCTGACCGAACTGAACCTGCGACACAACAGCATCACGTCTGTGGTGAGGAACAATTGGTGACGTTCTCCTGTCTGTCTGTCTGTTCTGTTATACAAAATTTTGAAATATTATTATAATTTAAAATAACTATTTTCTACGGTGAATATATGTTAAAATGTAATTTATTCCCGTGATGCGCAGCTGTATTTTCAGCATCATTCCTCCAGTCTTCAGTGTCACATGATCTTCAGAAATCAGTATAATATGCTGATCTGCTGCTCGAGAAACATTTCTGATTATTATCAATGTTTGAAATCAGTCGTGCTGCACAATATTATTGTGGAAACCGTGATACATTTTGTTTTTTAGGATTCACAGATGAATAGAAAGTTCAAAAGGACAGCATTTATTTGAAATAGAAATCTCTCTCTCTCCTCAGATCTCTCAGATTGAAAATGTGTCTCGTTTGTCGAAGCTTCGTTTGTTGAATCTCTCTGGAAACCGCATCAGTCGAGTGGAGAATCTGCAGGGTCTGAAATGTCTGACCGAACTGAACCTGCGACACAACAGCATCACGTCTGTGGTGAGGAACAATTGGTGATGTTCTCCTGTCTGTCTGTCTGTCTGTGATTGGTGGAGTTGTGGTGGAGCACATCAGCTGGACAGTGACGTAATTTTGTGTCTGGGACATCGCGGCTAAATTTAGATGCAGTCAGAGAGAGAGAGGATGATCAATACAGACATTCAGACAGCAGTAACTAACAACACACGGGTCTTGCTTGTGTTGTTCTGTCAAACGCTTTGTTTTCATTGATTGATAATATAAAGGTCACAGAATATTCCAACTTATTCATTTTGGCAACCACCCTAAACACCCTACCAATTAAGAAGCATCTTAGCAACCCCCTAGCAACCACTTAGTTACATTTTAGCAGCTATCATAAAAATTTTAGCAACCACCTTGAAAAATCTTAGCAACCATTCTCAACACCCTAGCCACCACCTAGAAACATTTTAGCATCCATCCCCAACCACTTTGAAACTTCTTGGCAACCATCCTAATCACCCTAGCAACCACAATTGATTGACACAATTGAAAAACCCTCAGCTGAAAACAATGTCTGGCTGTTTCTGCTGTCGAACACTTCCTGCGTGTATGTGCTGAATTTGAGCATCTCTCCACACTCACACACACTCTCCCCTCCCCCGCAGTCGTCCTGCTCTTCCGCTGCCCCTCCCGTCAGCGTGTGTGTGTGTGTGTGTGTGAGATCTGGGCGGATGGATCGGTGTGCCAGTGGCTGTGGGATGCAGCATCATCTCTCTGTGTCTCTGTCTCTCTGTTTGTCTGCAGACGGATGTGGAGAATCTTCCTCGTCTGCAGCGTCTGTTTCTCAGTGCTAACAGCATCAGCAGGTAAGAGCCGCATTCGTCCGCATGTGTTTAACCCCGTCCTGTCTGAGGATGCATCGTGTCCTTGTACTGCAGCAGTGCGGGGCTGTGCGACACACACACACACACACATGGGCAGAAGTGTTTCGACAGTCATCCAGTGTGTCTGATTCTGTAACCATGGGAACATGTTTTTGCTGTGTTGTCATGGTGTGAGTGCTGCGGTTGCTAAGGGAGCACTGCAGTATGATGTCTTGATGCGGTGTGACGGGTGTGTTTGTCCCTCATTACTGCTGTGTCATACTGCTGCATCCAGAGCCGTGTGTGTGTGTGTGTGTGTGTGTGTGTGTGGGCAGGGCTCACTGAAGGCCAAGGGGTCACGCATTGTGTATTGTAAAAGTGAGTTACATTAATTTATGTATTCAGTTTTGGCCGGCGATATGGAAGCATGTTTCTGCCATGGAATGAAAAAAGAAAAAACGTGATTGCAACTTTTTATCACACAATTATAAATGAATTTCTCGTAATTCAGAGTTTATATCTCACTTTTTCTTGCAATTCTCATTTTTTCCCCTGTGATTCAGAGTTTTTATCTTGCAACTCAGGCGTTTTGTTTTAATTCTCAGTATATATCTGAATCACAAAATGTTTTTGTGATTGAGAAGTAGTTACCTTTTTATTTTTGATTCCATGGTGGAAACAGGCTTCCATACGGAGGGAAGTAACATGACACCGTTCCTGTTTATTACTCTAAAGTACAGTCTGTATTGTAATAATAAGGATACGGGTTAATGAGTTGATGACTGTCTGACCGTAGCATTCGTGCGCAGGTTGGATGCGCTGGCCTGTCTGTGGCACTGCCGCTCTCTGAGTGAGCTGAGCGTTGATGGGAATCCTGTCGCGCTGGAGTCATGCTACAGACAGACTCTCCTCCGCTGCTGCTCGCCACACCTTCAGCTGCTCGACATGAAGCGCGTCACAGTGAGTCCCTTCGGGCCAGTTATTAAAGACTTTAATGTTGTTTTACAGACTGTTGAGTGTGTGTGTGTGTGTGCAGCTATTCATTCTGACAAAATGCATTTCACAGTTGCGAAGAAAACAAAGGGGCTAAACTAATTAAAAACAGGGATGAGCTTTGCTTATATGTGAGCCTGCAGCACAAAAGCAGTGTTGAGTCGCTGGGGGATATTTGTAGCAATAGCCAACAATACATTGTATGGGTCACAATTATTGATTTTTCTTTTATGCCAAAAATCATTAGGATATTAAGTAAAGATCATGTTCCATGAACTCCTCCGCTGCTGCTCGCCACACCTTCAGCTGCTCGACATGAAGCGCGTCACAGTGAGTCCCTTCGGGCCAGTTATTAAAGACTTTAATGTTGTTTTACAGACTGTTGAGTGTGTGTGTGTGTGTGCAGCTATTCATTCTGACAAAATGCATTTCACAGTTGCGAAGAAAACAAAGGGGCTAAACTAATTAAAACCGGGATGAGCTTTGCTTATATGTGAGCCTGCAGCACAAAAGCAGTGTTAAGTCGCTGGGGGATATTTGTAGCAATAGCCAACAATACATTGTATGGGTCACAATTATTGATTTTTCTTTTATGCCAAAAATCATTAGGATATTAAGTAAAGATCATGTTCCATGAAGATATTTTGTAACTATAATATATAACTTTAAAGATGATTTTCTCAATATTTAGATTTTTTTGCACCCTCAGATTCTAGATTTTCAAATATTGTGCTATCCTAACAAACCATACATCAATGGAAAGATTATTTATTCAGCTGAAAAAATTCTTACTTTTGAGTTAAAAGCCAACGATGATGTTAAATGAGTTTATTCCAGCAGATAATTTCAGACTGAACATATAATAATCAGGAATGTTACAGAAATACACACAGCTCATCTCTAAAGAATTCCCCTTCAGCCAGAATCCCTAAACACATCCTGGAGTAATGGCTTGTAAAACTCTGAGATCCGGCCTCTGTGATGTGCTGATTAACAGCTCCTGGATCAGCTGATCAAACATGTTCAAAATTGCATGAAAAGAGGAATATAGTGCTTTATTTATTAGTGCCGTTTATCTTATTAAAGGCAGGGTAGGTGATTTGGTTCAAAAGCATTTTTTGTTTTGCTGGTTGAAAGTCCGTCTCTCATCGTGTCGCTGGTTCGCCTCTGCTCTGCCTGTGTTTGGGAGGAGGCGTGGCTTTGGAGAGTGATTTGCATCTTATGCTTTCAAAGCCGGCTTGCTATTGCTAGCCTCTCCGAAATCACCTTCTCTACCTTTAAAGACTGTTTTTATGTAGTGACTCATTAATTGGTAAATCACATTCAGAGAGACAGCGAGTGTGTAGCCTGATCTCCATCTGTCTCCAAATGATCCCGTGCCAGCCTCCAAAACTGTTGCAATGCATGCTGGGAAGCAAACAGCTGGGTGGATAGCAAATCATCTGAAAATAATCCTCTCTGATCCACACGCGCACACACACACTCACTCACTCACTCACTCGCGCACACACTCACTCACTCGCACTCACACACACTCACTCACTCACGCACACACACACACACCCTCACTCACTCACTCGCACTCACACACACTCACTCACTCACGCACACACACACACACCCTCACTCACTCACTCGCACTCACACACACTCACTCACTCACGCACACACACACACTCACTCACTCACTCACTCGCACACACACTCACTCACACACACACACTCACTCATACACACACACGCATGCACACACACACACGCACACACACACTCACACTCACTCACGCACACATTCACTCACGCACACATTCACACACACGCGGACACACACACTCACTCATACACACTCACGCACACATTCACACACACTCACACTCACACACACGCACACACACACTCACACTCACACACACACACACACACACGCACACTGCCGTGTCTAACGACAAACATCCATATTCATATATCCGGTGTGACGTGTAGGGCAGTGTTTGTTTCATGATGCTGATATCGTTCTAGGAGTTTAAATGTCACGTGTGTTTCATCAACTATACGAGAATCTCACAAAAACACGATCGGGTCACATTTCACCTCATAAAAAAAAAAAGTATATTTTGCATAAATTATTAATCTTGAAGGGATAGTTCACCCAAAAATGAAAATTCTCTTATTTATTCTCCCTCATGGTGTTCCAAACAAATTTTAAAGACTGTTGGTAAGCAAACGGTTTCCGGTACCCATTGACTTCCATAGTATGGAAAAAAGTACTGTGGAAGTCAATGGGTACCGTCAACTGTTTGCATATCAACATTATTCTGTTTAACACAGATGATGATATTTTCAAAAAATGTTGGTGAGCAAACGGTTTCCGGTACCCATTGACTTCCATAGTATTTTTTTCCACTCTATGGAAGTCAATGGGTACCGTCAACTATTCGCTTATCAACATTATTCTGTTTAACACAAAAAAATATATTTTGAAGAATGTTGGTAAGCAAATATTTGACGGTACCCATTGACTTCCATAGTATGGGGAAAAAATACTATGGAAGTCAATGGGTACCGTCAACTGTTTGCTTACCAACATTATTCTGTTTAACGCAAAAAAAGATATTTTGAAGAATGTTGGTAAGCAAACATTTGATGGTACCCACTGACTTCCATAGTATTTTTTTTCCACTCTGTGGAAGTCAATGGGTACCGTCAACTGTTTGCTTATCAACATTATTCTGTTTAACACAAAAAAATCTATTTTGACTCACTCACTCACTCACTCACTCACACACACTCACGCGCACACTCACGCGCACTCACACACACACACTCACACGCACACTCACGCGCACACTCACTCACTCACTCACTCACACTCACGCACGCACGCACACACTCACTCACACACTCACTCACTTACACGCACACACACTCACTCTCACTCTCACACTCACACACACA